CTATGGTCTGTAACACATTATCCGCAGCCTGTTGACTGATGTACTGGGAGCACTTGAGCAGTTCAGAGATTTCAGAGCGGGTTCCCTCACCATTGGGAAGTCGTGCGGTAGCATCTCGAACTAGAGTCAGGATAGTCACAAATGGAGGTCGGTCATCCACCATAACTGCGTGACCCCTTGCTTTGTTCAGTGGCAGACTTTGGGTATAGATTCCTTTGACTGGACCTACCACACTCTCATACCCATTGAGACGATAGGTAAACGGACGATGCGGATACTCAAAGCGTATTCTCTCCTGGCGCTGGAACTCAAGGATCTCCGGCTGGCTTGCTGACCGCACAGTCCAGGTGGTGGGACATCTTGGAGGCGGTGTTGGTGCCGCATCCACCATCGAGTTCAGGTGAACACCCGAAATCAAAACCGGGCTGAGTTGAGACTGTTCCTCCCTTTGGGTTCGCAACCAAAACTGACATAGGCTGAGGAGTCTTGCATCCGAGTCCCGGCCAGCTCCTATCCACTGGTAGATTCCCAACTGAGTTTTGTGTTCAATATAGGGCACATAATCGGCAGGAACGGAAGCAAAATCGCCCGATAAGAAATTGATTGCCGATTGTAACAGCTTAGACCAATCCGGCTGGAACCTTGACCATTCCCCGATAGGTATTGCTGCATCCGAGTTGACTTCCCGCCAGCTGGACAACAAAATTTGCAGTTCACCGTATGTTAGCCTGTGCTGCGGTGTGGATACAAATAGATCTCTGAGCAGAGAGAAGAAGCTGGCAGGGCGCGGGGAGGCTGGAGGGCGAATCTGCACTTCCCGGATGGGACTGCCGGTTATATGTCCAGCAGTTGCAGGAACAGTATTCGTGTTGTTCGAGTGATTGGGCGTCGTGGGACTTGCCTTGGGATTTGTTATGGGTCCATTCAAAGGTTCCAGCTTGGGCACGGGATGTGGAAGCACAACTGGAGCGGGCATTACTTTCTTTGGCATAGGCGGGGGCTCCTTGGGCGGCGGGTGCTCCTCCGGATGGTCTTCCGGTGCTCGGCGGCCGTACAGTTGCTGCGGCTCATCCAACAGCATGGGCTCCTCATCTACAAACTCGTCTTTCGTAGGCGTTACTCCAATGGGCACGAGAGCGGGAGGATCTGGATTGAGGCGGGCCATGAGCGCTTTCGGTTTTCGACCTGGCTTAAAGCTTCCGACAAACTGTGCTCGAGTGCAGATGTCGCGCAGTCGTACCTCCGATGTATCGAACTCAGGACTTTCCTGGAATTTTAATTGTTTCTCAATTAGAAACTCTTATGGGAAATTGTCGGCAAATTTTAAAATATAAAGGTTCTACGTTTTAAGTTTTAAAACAAACGTGCAAGATCATTTGATTTAAACAATAAACAATAACTGATACCACTTAGCATATTGTTGACATAGATCGCAACTGTATTTACACAACAGGGCAGACATACCGGTTGTTCCAATTTCCGGCGCTTGTAGTCCCTTAGATACTTCCGGAAGTTCTTGTCATTGAGCTGGGGAATTTTCTCCGCCTGCATGGAGCGCAGCACAAGGTCATCGTCTACACCAAGTCGCCGCTTGAAGAAGGTGTTGTAAATGCATTTCTTGTCTGCCGCATTCGAAGGCCTGCCAGGACCTGCCGGCTCCGGAGCCTTGGGCTCCTCCAATTTGAATTCCTGCGGGGCCTTGGCCAATCGGTTTATGAGCTGTGAGCATTCATCGTCCTCTTCCTCCTCCTCCGCACTGATGTCGCCGGGTTTTGCCTCTATGTCGCCCATAAGTTCCAGAAGCTCTTGGGCATAGCGTTTCTTGGCACGCTGCGAACAAAATCTGTTTTCCGTTGAGAGTGTGGGCGGTTTTGTCTTACGGGTACGTGGCCTTGGTAGGTTTTTACCAAAAGCACTATCAGGGGGTGGTGCAGAGGTGTAGGCATATTGGAGAAGCTGTTCCCTTGATAGAAAGAGCTCCTTAGCTAGCTGGCTCAAGCGCTCAGCCTGTTGGAAACGAAATTCTCTTCTGCCCGAATGCTGAATGCTCCTCCGCAGCTGAAGGACATCCGGGCGCAGGTTTCCTTCTTCCAGCTGACGTTGGAGCTGAAGCAGTGGAGATTGACCGAAGCGCTGAAGGCCGCCATTGAATAGCTGCACTAAAGTACGTTGCTGTTCGGCACCGGCCTGTGCCTGTCCGGATACCAAACGGGAGAAGTCCGGCAGCATCGGCTGTAGTCGGGCCTGAAGGTGATGGGGCAGCAGTTGCCAAGTGTCGAGGGAGAAGAACTCATGAAAAATGGCTGCATTTTCGCACAAGCCCCGCGGCAACCGAAAGATATCCCGCCCAGTGAGCTGCGCGAGTTCCAGTTCGTCCGATCGGCATGTGGTGGTGTCGTCCTCCGTTTCCGAAACGCTGCCCGCGTCCTGGTCGGACATATCCTCGTCCTCGCCATCCGGATCATCCTCCAGGGAACCGCTCGTCGAGTCCGAGGAGCTGCTGCTCGACGTCCGACTCCTCTGGCTGCTGGCCGAGTTGCTCCCGCTGTCGCTCATCCGGCCATCGCCCTCTTCCTCCTCGGAGTCCACACTGCGATTTGGATTCACATTTGGATTCCCATTAGCGTTTGGACTCGGCCTGGGCACTGTGTTTATGTTTATGTTGCTCATCGGATAGCCAACGATTCGTCACCAGATTTTTCTTCGCGAAGAGCGATTTTTTCTCTACACTAACTTATAATTTTTGTCTCTTACGCCGCTGTCCTGCCTCGTTATATCAATCAGCCAGCGTTAGCTGCTGGTTTTCTTCTTTTTTTATTGTTAAGCATGTTTTCTCTGCGATTTCTCACCATTCATCGCGAAACGCGTGCACGCTAGAGATGGTACGATGTGGCGGTGGTGGTTGTTCCACTGCTGCGGTTTGAAAAAAGCGCTCGTCTTCATTTGGGGGTTATTTTTCACGCTAACGCAGGGTTTTCGGCGATAGGTTTCTTGAATAATTATACTACATTTAAATGGTACAGTTAAATGTTATGAAAACGCCAAAATAAAGTCATCCACTAGAGATGAGACGATGAAACGGCCTTGAGTTGTTCGCGTTCATGGTGACTGCACCTTATCGGCATTCATTTCAAAGAATAACCGTAAATTTTGTATAATGAATATTTTTACTACAAGCAATATGGAACTGGTAAATAGCTTAACATAATATCAAGTAAGAACATAAAAATTTCAAGAAATTTGTCAAGTCCTTTGTGTATGTATGCCCCGTATGTTTTTTATTATTAACGTCGATCTTTGTTCTTAGCAGCCTAATTGCATTTCATGCTGAATTTATGTACAAATATTTTAGAGGACGCGATTATAAAGTACAATGTTAAAACAAATACATATATTTGACATTATCTTTAATCTAACGGTACGGAACCAATTCGATAACAATCCACCTAACTTCGCGTTACTTTTGATGGTGTCATCGAAAGTGTGGCATCACTAGCCCAGCCTATTATTTGTTTTTATTGTTGATTATTTTCCTGGAGATCTGAAGAACCAGCGGCATAATGAAGAAAAAGGTGTGGTTTTTGCATATTCCTGTTAAGCATCGGAAGTACAATATGTTTGTATTACCAGGTGTTGCTGATGGGGAAGAGCGGTTCGGGAAAGACCAGCATGCGCTCCATTATCTTTGCTAACTATATCGCCCGTGATACGACACGCCTCGGAGCAACAAGTGAGTATACTATATAGTCGAAAAGGCCAGGAACTGATCCTATCATGCACCCTTAGTCGATGTGGAACACTCCCATGTGCGGTTTCTGGGCAACCTGGTACTCAATCTTTGGGACTGTGGCGGCCAGGAGGGTTTCATGAAGCAGTACTTTGCCCAGCAGCGGGACAACATCTTTCGCAATGTAGAGGTGCTGATCTATGTATTTGATGTGGAGAGCCAGGAGATAGAGCGCGACATCCATTACTATCAAAGCTGCCTGGAGGCATTGCTTCAGAATTCGCCTGAGGCCAAGATCTTCTGTCTGGTGCACAAAATGGACCTGGTGCCGGAGGCCCTTCGCGAGAATGTGTTCACTGAGCGCATGGAGGATCTCATCAAATTGTCTAAGCCAGGGAATGTGACCTGTTTCCGCACCAGCATTTGGGATGAAACACTATACAAGTTAGTAAACTCCAAGTATTCAACGGAATTGACCTAAAATACAACTATTATTCAATCTCTAACTGCCTTAGAGCCTGGTCTTCCATTGTCACGATGCTGATACCGAATGTTGCTGCCCTGGAGAACTCAGTGACACATTTCGGAAATGTCATTGAGGCGGATGAGGTGCTATTGTTCGAAAAGGCCACCTTTCTGGTGATCTCTCATTGTCAGAGTAAGAAGAACCGCGACTCGCACCGCTTTGAAAAGGTGTCCAACATCATCAAGCAGTTCAAGTTAAGCTGTTCCAAATTGGGCGCCAAGTTCCAATCGATGGAGGTCCGCAATAGCGCATTTGCCGCTTTCATTGACACCTTCACCAGCAACACGTACGTGATGGTGGTCATGTCAGATCCCACGCTGCCCTCGGAGGCTACCCTAGTCAACATTAGGAACGCTCGGAAGTACTTCGAGGAGCTGGAAAATCCAAGCAACAGTGCCATGAACCATCATGGCCACAAGTACCATTGATGATTAAACGAGGATCGTTGCTTTCCATAACACCATTAGCCGTTCTCCGTTCAATAAGACATGAATACCGTCTGTTGTTGTGCAAACATCGAAGCGCCCAAGGTGCCGCCCCAAAGTCTTACAGCTTCCCGTAACTATAAATACGTATATATGTTTTTTTATCGCTCACTGGCTTCATGACTGTCATAATAGTTAATGCTGTAATTGTAAATGTGGCAGTGTGCATCTCACATAATAGCTTTCTGGAGTTATAAAGGTCGTAGTGAGTGAGCGATGGATAGCCATCTCCTTCGTTGATTTTTCGTAGATTTGTAAGTTGAAACCTTTGTAGGCCTTAAGTTTATATACAAAAACAATTACACACTTATAAATACACAAAACAATCTTAAGTATTGGTAACTTGTAAATGCCGATCGCAGTATAAGGCCCACATATCACAGATAATCCAGTTGGTCCTGTTGCCCTGTTTCGCCTACGAATAGAATCTCCTGACCTCCTCGGACAATCGATCCACGGTGTCCTCATCAACAGGCAGAAAACGTTTGGCTCCGCGACTAAAGTAATATATGTCACCGGTATAAATATCGAACCAAAGGGCATGAATGTGGAGATCGTGGGATTCTAGGCGAGCCTTAAGGAAGCCGTACGAGGCAATGTTGGACATTTGCTGCAGTGTGTTGATCTGGGATAGTTTGTCCTCCAATGTAAACTTCTGCTCCTCATCGATGTAGGCCACAAAGCGGCGGAGTGGCGTCTCCGAAGAGAAGATTAGTGGATCCTTCATGCCTGCGTCCCGCCACTCCTGGAACCTCTCCAAGCTGGTGTTCGCATGGGTGCACAGCCAAGATCGCAACGGTGAGAGGCGTCGATTAAGCTGGTGGGAAAAGGTGAGTGATTCGATTGAAGCTTATCAAGACCCTAAAATATTTGACTTTCGCAAATACCTTAGAGGCGAAATCAGGATCTCTTAGTTGGTACAACAGGTTCATGGCCTTGCAGTCGCTGTGTCCGCAGACTATTATGTGTCTAATGTCATTCACCACGCATCCAAGCTCCAGAGCTGCCGGTTCGCAGCTGAAGTATTCGTCCTGGAAGTGCTGGGCATGGGGAATCAGATTGCCAGCATTTCGCACTTAACCGTGGGATTAGGCAGGAATGTTAAGCCATATATTATCTACGCAACTGGAGTTACTCACCCACAAACATATCGCCCACGTGAGTGTCGGTGTACCGGGTGGGAATCATTCTACTGTCCATGCAGGTGAAGAAGACGGCCTTGGGCTAAATGATAAAGTTTATCAATATTAAATGTTAGAATACCGAGCTCTGTCGGCCAATGTGTGAATATAGACCGAATATAGCCACCCCGAGTTATGACATACTTGGCAAATGGCCAACGCGTCAATGGGTTCAAGGCTGTACAACAGGGAAATTCAAATATATTGAAAATATTGATGGACGAACATATCTTGGAGGAAGCCTCTGCCCATGTTTTCTATAGAAATTGTAATAGAACTATATATCGCTAAGAAAATAGTTCACTTGACCTTGTCATGTAGGTTATTAATTTCTTAAAGATTTTGTAATCTAATTAAAGAAGCATGTTTTTTTCCCCCTTTTTTTATATTCATTATTTTGTTTTTAGTCTTTAATATCAGTGATATTTTCTTTCGATATTTTTTTTATAAATATTTCCAATTAGAACTACATTAGGTTGATAATTAGCAAAGGTGCACGACATTTAAGAGCACTGAAAAGCAATCAGTTAAGTATATGAAAATATAATTAAATATTAAGCAAACAAAAGGGGGTGAATGGGGATAATTTGGTGGTCAACCGGTTTGCCTTTGTTGTTTGTTTACCAAATAAAACTTAAAAGAGAGCCAAGATAAAGAGCGAAATATGGGAGAGCGCCAAGTTTGCGACAGACAAGTTGAAAAAATGTGATAATGATATAAAACACGGACAATTCGTTTCCCACAAGGCAAACGCATGCTCCAAGTTCTTTTTTTGTGAATGTGAAATTCTATTGTGAGTTCTATTCCGAAATCTTGACCTATAAACCGTATTGCTGCTCACTTCTGGATTGTCGCGGACTTTCTGGAACTCCTTGACCATTTGCTCCCTCGTTGTATTTCTGTACCGCATAATTCCCCTCAAAATACGCTCCATTTTGTGGGTTTTTTTGGGGCTTCTTAAACTTAATTTGACACTTTAATTGCACGCACTTTGGCACCACAATTGATTTTCCTTAATTTGTGTATAATAATGACGCACTCGCGCCTAACAAAAATTACGATGGAGCTCTGTTGACGGCGGTGGAGCGTTTGAAGAGGAATTGTTGCTTCCAAAACACGCGATGTATTTGGCGAGCAGCTGTTGTTATCTCTTTGGGAGCGTGCTCCCTGCGCTCTTGGGGAGACATTAAGAGAAATAATACGAGAGCAATATTGGGGATAGTTTCAAGGTGCTAATTATTTCCATTTATAAATAAACACATTCGGCTAAGGCAAGAACCGTAAAGTTAATTGGATATTTTTCGAGTTTACAGCACTTATGATACCTACACTTAATGTTTTTCATACTCAATTAATATCTATAAATTATAAATTATTATTAGATGCGAATAGCATATTAAAATAACGATGAAAAGTTCTATTAGCAAATAACAACAAAACAATATTTGTATAAATTAGTTTCTTAATAAAGCGACCTAAGAGACTCGTTTGCCGCCATCACAAAGATAAGAGAAATAATAATTGAAGGCACTCCCTTCCCAAAATGCTCTCCCAGTAAATATTAGTGTGGGGAGCGCAAATCGATGGCTTAATGGAATTTCTCTGAGCTAACATCTCTGGCAAGTTCCAGACAGTCGACCAGCGACAAAAGTCAACTTATTCGCCAGACGTCTTATCAGTGGAGCAGAGTGGGAAACGACTCGAAGAGCTGATGATGTTGATATTATGGCTTCCACGTTTTGTGCTTATTTAGCTGTAGCCTTTCCTAATCAATATTTTGATGGAACTTTCTGATGACTTCCTGATCTGGGGAAGTCAAGGTCAGTTTAATTTGTTTTATTCCTTTATATAGTTATTTAATTAAATAAGCGGAAATATCAAGTTTACTGTCCTTCTTTCAGCGCAGCTACTAATCAAATGATCAAAATTATACAAATTGTAAAAAAGTTTATCAAAAAGACACGGTTTTCACAAATTTATACGTGGAACATTTGTTTTTGAGGTTTCCATTTTAAAAAGTCCGCCAATAATCATTATCTACATCGTTTCTACATGGTTAGTAGAAGTTCCAATTTTGGCCAATGGCGGCGCCACTTACGGCGTAATCTACATCTCTATTCATGAATTCATTGGTTATTTATATTAAAATATCTTATGTGAAAATACCAATAAGTTTATTTTGTTGTAAAAACATATTTTTTTCGAATTTCACTCCTGTGCTCCCTGCTGGCAAAGCTATGTTTAATTATACATAACTAACATATCACTAATAAAAATCAGAATTTCTTTCCTGTTTAATATGGTTCTTAGGTTTAATTCCACTCAGGAGGTTAAAACAAATACCAAACTAATCTAATCGATTTCAAAACGGAATGTAAAGAATGCCTATTAAAAATGTTGTGCCATTTTTTGTAACGACAGTGGAATTCTTGCAACTCACAGGCGGTTTTTATTGGCCTGGGAGCATCACGTACCCCATTCGAATGAAATGGGCTCTTAGTCAGTGTAATATTAGCCTTTCCGAGAAGTGCCCACCGCATCATTCAGCGAGCGCATTTTTGCTGATTTTCGGGCATTGTCAGAACTTCTCAGGCATCTCGGCCGGGATGATGCCTCCGAAAGTGGGTCACACAAACACCTGTGCGGCAAAAAGGCCAACACACCAATGCAAATATTATGAAATCCCCACCGCCGCGAAAGAAAGCAAAGTCTAAACCACAAACACCACTGACTGTGTGTCGCCGCCGAAAAGCAAAAACCAAAACAACAACCAGGTCCATTTCACCAGCAGATTCACTCTTGATGATTATAAGCTTTTGCTGTGCGTAGTGGGCCTTGTGGTTTTTGGTTTTTGGCTTTTGGCTTTTGGGACTGGGGACCTGACTGACCGTCTCCATTCCATCCCACCATATCGCAACGCATCCCAACCCCCGCAACCTGCTCCTCAGTCCCAGTCGCCCGTTTTGCTTTCCTTTCATTATCGAGCGGCAAAATATTGGTTGAGCAAGCAAGGCAGAGGCAATGAAATCGAAAGAAAAAAGCATTTTTTAATGGGAGTTACAACGCGAAGGTTAGATGTTCTAAGACCAAGAAATCCGTGCCAGATTTACAATTTTTCATTTTGTCATACAAACATCTAATTATCAAATGATCTGTGGCACTGCATATTTAAGGAAAATTCGTTACCTATTAAATTTGCTTTATAACTGAGAAGAATATATTTGAAATTAAAGTTTCTTTTATTTACAGGTTTTTTACAAATTTAGGATGGCATGTCAAAGCATCTTTGAAAATCAATGGACACAAAGTTCGTTTGAAACAAAAGTCCCGGCGTGACCAACAAATGACGACGGTGATGCGCCAGCAGCATCTTCATATCGTTCCCAAAAAACCCCCCCATACAGAAAAACCGCCAAGAGATGATGATCAGAACCCTAACTCAAAGCTCATTACGATGGTTATCAGGTGAAGGGGTTAGGGGGAGTTGTGGATGGCAAGCAGCGTGGGTACAGCAGGCGAAATAATGAAGCAGAATCGCCTGCATGACAATGATTACTGTAAGCCAAACCAAAAAGAAAAACAAAATATATAAAGAAAGACACGGCCCGCAGCACTCGCCATCCCACTTCCACTCGAAGATTCAAAGACTCGAGTTGGGAACCGCTGTCGGTTTTTTTTCAGAATATTTGGGCCAAAGCGCCAAATGTAAACATTGAGAAAATAAAACGGAAAAAACTCGACTGATGATGATGGTTACTTAACAATGCTGAACAATAAATGAGCTCCAAACGTGCACGTATGTGTGTGTGTGTGTGTGTGTGTGCGGGATTTCGGTGGGTGTGGGTGCCCAAAGTTATTGTGGGTGTTGTGAAATCAGAAACCCGAAGAAAGAAAAAGGGGTATGCAGGTGCCGAAGGGTTTTACCCGCGTTGAGTCATTCGAATAATATCGAACTCAAGTTGTAAGGCCCTTATCGCTGCAAAATCAAAACGATCGAACAATCAAAAATTAAGTGAAAATAGTTCTAGAAATGTTTAGTCTATTCTTATCTTCAAAAACATATTATCCAGCTCGCTCGCTCCAATTTGTCATGCATCCCATGCTTTTTGTACCCATCTTGTTAAGATTTAATAATTTCTAAGAAGAACAAATGCCTACATCAAATTATAATTTCTTCGCGTTGTATTCTTGAGCTATTGTGTTTCTACCTCAACAATAAGGTCTTCGATATGATGTCATATGTATTTGTCTTGGCCAACTTACGAATACACACGCGTGCACACTTCTACATTTCTTTTTTGGGGTTTCCTAAGCATAATTTATATTTGGGTGTTACCTCCTCCCGAAAGTCTCCGGATTCTGCTATACCTCTTTCTGTTTACCCCACTATGTAGCTGTCTCTCTCATTTCGTGTGTGTCTATCTCTTTCAGACACAATTTGCAAATGGGTTTTGGCTGATTCTTTTGGCTCTGACTTTGGCTTTGGGTTAATTAGTGAGTATCTTTCCTCAGCACGCACAAATAAGAAAACAACAACAACGCTTTTGGCCTTTGAGTTGTATTTTTATGTGTGCTTGTGTGGGTAATGGCGGCGGCATTGCTGTTCTTATTAGCGTTGTAGCTTTTAAGCTTAAGCTTGCCCCTAAAATCTGGGTCACCAGTGTCGTTAAAGCCACTCTTCGTCTTCTACATTTGTACGAGTGTGTATGTATATAAATATGTGTTCTCGTGTGTGAGTGCGCAAATTAAATATTCACAGCGTTGGCTAAGCAAATAAAATCTTTCAAGCTCTTTGGCTTGTTGTTGCATTTCCTTCTGGCCACTTTTGTTAGCTGTTTTGTCTTCCTCTTGTTTTGGGCCCGAACCAACGGAGATGGTGCGGCGCATGAAAGTGAATCAGAATGTTTTAGCCGTTCTTTGCAAAACAAATGAGATCAAAAGTGGGCTTTTGTCGCATCTCTTTAACCTGAATATGTCAACCCTACTTATTCCGCTGCTTTTTAAGCGAATTTTTTCGTGTTGCCAAAAGGAAAGAAGACGATGTAGCCAATATTTGTATTCCACTTTGCTAAAAGTGTGGTGGCTAAAAGAGAATGTTGTCTTAAGTATCGCGTAAAAGAATGAGCTCAAAAGGAGATTTAATATGAATAATATGAATATAATATAAAGTTAAATAATTAGCAAGGCAAAACAGTTGTCTGTGGGTTAAAAACTTTAACAATAAATATACTGCTGAAACGAATAAAGGGGTACTTAAGGTATCCATCACGGATTTGTAAAAGTTCTCAGCAATTTGAATTCAATAATTTTTTTGGCAAATACTCGAATGTCCAGATGTTCTGTTTACATTCTTTGTGTAATCTCTCATGCCGTGGGCAATTTTCGGTGTCGATTTGTGAAAAAATAATAAAACAAGAAAACAGATTCGGTTTGCTGTGGGCGTACCTTATTATGAGTTATACATATGAGATGGACAAGAATTCGGCGTTGCTGTCAGCCGTTGGCTATAAAGGGGTGTGCCATGACCCAATTTTAATATTATTTTTATTTTTTTTCTCCTCTCAGTCTTTCGCTACCTTGCCTTTGTTTATTCACGCATGAGCTCAGCATTACACGGCGAAAGAATTTTTATAGTTCAAGGGGAATAGTAAAAGCATTCTTAACCCTTCGCCGAGGACGTCATTAAGTAAATATCCATGCCGTGAATTTTGCATCATTCGGCGGGCAGGTAAGAGGCCCAGCACAATGTCAAAGGACGGCAAACGGTGAAATTTACAATTTAATGGCGGACTTTAAGTGGAAAACGGCAAACAGTCAGTCAGAGGCAGAAACAGCGGTTTTATGGCCATGACAAAAGACAGCCGGCGACAAATGTTGCATCCGCATTGCAGCAGCAGCAACAGCAGCAGCAGCCACTCTTGCACCGCTGTCTTCAACTGAAAATCTGCAATGGTAGTGGTTCATTCCCTTGCCAAGTCGTAAATCATGCGGCAATGTTTTGCATGTGACACGGACCGAGTGACAAGAGATTGACCCAATTTCCCAGACTAATCCGCAGCGTATCCGATCTCGATTTTCTCAGTCTGGCCGCCTCCGAAAACCCTTCTCGAAGATGTTTGTGTACAAATAAAGGCCTTTGTAAAGGGCAGGTAAACAGAACTTCTGGAATATCGATTAAGATAAAAAATATATTAAGTCCGCATATATGTTTTATGGTATATGATTGTTTTAGCAGCAGAAATACTATAATACAATCAAGATAAAGTACTGA